TCCAATCCCTCACGTTCTGTGATTCTGTGAGACCGTATGATATTAATCCTTCCCAATAAGCAGCATTATCACTTACTGATAGGAGACTGCCAGCTCAGAGGAAAGCCACCACCAGCAGCTTTCTTCATTCAGCTCTCAAAACAAACATCCTGAAATGATGCATGATACAACTGCTGCCACCACCCATTACTGCAGTTAACGATTCAAATTATCTTACCTTTCTGGATCCCTTTCATCCCTTGTTTTTTCACTGGTTCTTTTGGGAATGGAGGTCCTAAGTCAGAACTGGAAGTCTCTTTCGCTTGCCTGTATTGTTTAAGCTGATCAGCAAAATCTTCATCCTTTTCTTCCTCATTATAATTACCAAAGTTTTCATCACTGTAATGACTATAATCATCATAATCCTTACTTTTCACATTTTTTTTATGTTGCATTTTCTGTGAACTCATGTAATTTCCTGATACGTGTCCATGCTGTATGAAAAGGATTGCATTATTTAGAAGGAAGTCAATAGTTCAAAAAACACCCCTCCAAATTGCTCTACAAAACCAACTGTTTCTATACCGTTTTATTGTCATGCTGCCTACCAGATATGCACAATCACCAATAATACACTGTGAAAATCAGTTATTCAGTAAAAATTACTGCTTTTGATTCTGAATGCATCAAAATTGGGGAAAAAAAATAAAAAACCATACCAAAAAACCCAACCAAACCCCAACAAACCACAGCATCAGCATCTATACTCCAGAGAACTTTTCAGTGAGGTTGACAAAGCATTTTAACATACACGGTTCTAAGTGAACTATGATTAAAATAAATTTTTTCCCTTCATGATCTCCAATCCTGACAATCTCAGACATAGATTATGCAATCTATCCTGTCTCTGTCCGTCAAGATGAAATACTGCTTATGGCCGCTCCTAAGCCAGCACTGTCCCTTCTCCCATTTCTGCAGACAGGATCTTTGGGTTGTAAACAAATTAGGCAGGCTTAGAGGTTTCTGGAATGGTTTCAGACTAAAAGCCTCCTGTCCTCTGAAGTACCAGAGTTTTATCAAGCCTGTATTGCAGCTCTAGAGAATGTTTCACACGGAGGTCTCAGGAGGGCTATGGAGCTGCACAGACTGAGGAAAGCCAGGACAAATTGAACGATCAGAAAGCAGAATCACCTCTAAATATTTAAAGGTGGCTTTTCAAGAGCTGTTTCCTCTTAGCACAGTCTAAATCCAATGGAGAGAATAAAAAAAGGTATCTTAATTGTTGTCTGATGGAGGAAAAAGTAGTATTGGGGTTGCTTACACCACCTACATTCATGTCACAAATGATGCTTTACATTTGGAAATTTACCCAAGGAGATGAGAACTAGATGTGTTTTCTGAAATCTGTGAGAACAGGCGCCGTGATCAAGACAGCCTTCAAAAACCACATCATTTACATTTGCATTTTCTAAATGCCACCTAAATAAAGACATGAGAAATTTGTTTTCAGAAAAATATTACCTGACTGAATGAAGAATCATAATCTCTGTATGAAGAGCTGCTACCCTTTTTATGCGGTCTTTCTGAACGCTCAGTATCGGAGTCATGGCTGTAGTCTGAACTGTCATCACTGGAAGGGGAATTATGCTGAAAAAAAAAGAAAATAGCGCTCTCAAGCACTGTTATATAATTCCCTATTCTCCTGCTGTATATGAACTTAAAGGAAGCATCAGCCTAATAAATAAATGAAAGTATTTTCTGAACTCTCACAAACCTCTGCTTCTGGGGAAGCGAAAGAAAGCACATTCTTTGATGACCCACTCTTTTTATCAGAGAAAGAGATCTGATCCGATGAGGCTTCCGAACGTAAACATTGAGGGCTCTGTGGTTTCTCTGGGTTACAGCAGCTTCCTATGGGTGTCTCTGAGCCCTGCTTCTTTGTGCCATAGCAGGGATACTGCTGGAAGGCTAACAAATCTGGGAGATGGCTAGAAACTCTCCTATGTCCATAGAAATTATTAGCATCCTGCCATTTTCTGCTGGCAGAAAACTCAGCGTATTATTTAGATGTATTGTTTTGCAGTAAATTTAGAGGGAAAACCATATGAGAATAGTGTATCTCTGTGATTTTTAGAAAAGGTCCATCAGGTTTCATTTTCTAGGCTAAAATTTTGTGTATCTCTGGCATTTATTTAAGTCGATTAATATATATATATATATTGGGACACATTACCTTAATTTTACTGAAGAATTCACTTAACTAGCATAAAATATTTTCGTTCTATAAATATGATAATTAGCACAAAAAGTGAAATTGATAATTTAGATTCTGCCTCTTATCCTAAAACCTCTCAAATCTCTATGGTTCAGCTAGCATTACTGTTGTCAGTGGACAGTGCTTAACTCACACTGTTGCTTAAGAGGTAAACAATTTAGGAAGTGGTTTAACATTGCATCCTTTCACGTCAGAACTGCCACAAACACATGCTTTAAATCTCAGTATTCTGTAAACTGCTATTAAAAGAAATAATTAAATAAATAAGCATCCAGTGAAGAGGTACATCACAAATAACAGTTACACCCACAATCTAATTGCATACTACTTTTAAATACAAACAGATAAAAACTAAGTTTATGAAAATGCATTTAAGCAAAGCTAACAAGCACATCTCCAAACTATCACTTGAAATGTGCTATGGCTGGATTATTTAATGATTTGTCTCTTGCCCCACATAAACCATCACTGAAATGTGTGAATTTGCACTTCCATGAGTCTAAAGTCTATTTAAACAAATTCTTTACTGTTGAAGTGTATATGGGACAGGAATCCCAAAACTTTCCCTCAGAGATTGCCTAAACAGTAGTAAAACCACTTTAGGTATGTTCTCTAGTTCCCTGGATTCTTGTCTAAACCTGGAAACCGAGAATTAAAATAAGCAGCTCCAATACTTTGGTTTGCATTTCCTAACCTTATGTTTATCCCGTCTTCTCCTTTTTGATTTTTTCTTTTCTTTTTCTTTTTTGCGTTTCTTCCGTGATTTTCTATGTCCTTTATCATTTTTCTGTTTATCATCACCTTTTGTACCATGTTCTTTCACATCTTCATATGCTGCATCATCTATTTCACCATCTTCTAGCTCTCCATCTTCTCTGTAGGAGGAAAAAATAACAATACAATATATTACATGTTATTATCCATCTATCCATGCAACAGCATGTAAAACATCCATGTAAAAACAAACATACTCAGTATTTCTTTCCACCAGCTATTTTTATAGATGTGCATATACTTTTTAATACACGTAACACCCCAAGAACTACCAGGATTTCAGAAGTTTTTTAGATTTTTTTTTTAACTTAAACAAAAATTGAATGGAAGCCATTAAATGGCCTTGAATTGTACTGCAAAATTAAAAAGTTTAAAAACAATGTATTTTTTTCACTTCTTGGAACAAAAGCCTTCTCTTCTTACACAGTCCAAGCAAGATTTTAAAAAAAGTCTTCAATATAAAGCAGTCTGTCGCCCTCAGACACATTTCAAAATGAAGAGGTAGTTCAACCATTTCTAGAAATACTTCTACTACAATGCTGTTACACACCTTTATGGTGCTGTATTTGCAGAACAGATGTGGTCAAAATTAAAGGCAATTAAAACTCTCTGAAAACCTTATCGTTAAAGAGTAGCAAGAATGAAGAAAAGCAGTTGGGCACTCCAGGAAAAACAATGCATAGTAATACAAACACATTTCCTTCAACACACAAGGTCCTGGAACTAAAGATGGGTCTGTAGTATTTGCGATGTAACGGTCAATGTCACGAGCAATTTGAAAAAGGAGAATTCATTTAGCAGTTGATTTTTCGAAAGAAAGTAGTAGCAGTTGGCCAGAAAGGAGTAGTTAAAATTTAATTTGCTAGAATCTAAAAACTGACAGAAACCAGACATCCGATGGTACCATTTTTTTAAGCTACCCAGAGTAGGTTTTTTCTTTTTAAAATCTGTAACCTTGACATTTTTAAGGGGTTGTTTCATACATCAAGAAATACTGTAAATGCAACAATATGCATGTGAACATAACTTCTGAATACGAATGCAACTGTCTCAAAAGTCTTCAAATTGGAGTAACACCAAAGGATGAATTTAGAAGAAAGTCAATACAAAATGTAACACTTTAAGTGTTTGTAGACTAAACAACAGAATGGCTTGTGCTTATTTCCATCAGTAGAGGGGAAAAAACCTTTCTATGATTAGGTAAGACTTGATTTAAAGTTTTGTCTACTGACCAAAACAACCCTAAAATTAGTTTGCCATGATAGAAACATTTCAACAAAACATCGGCTAACCTATTTCTCATCCCTATTTCAGACATACTGCTGAAACAATCTCAACTCCCCTTCTACTACTTGGTATTTGCTGGGTTTTGGCTGTGGAAGAATTTACTGGTTTTAAACATTTGTATCTAGTTCTACATGATCATTTCTACATAACCACTGCTTCAGGAATTCAGCCTTTGCAGGCATCGTGGAACCTCATAGAAACTCAAGTCCTGAATTTTTACATGGAGATTGCTTAAAAATGCGGTCAAAAACCCTCACTCTATGAATGTACTGGATTCAGTAGATGGTGGGGGCAGCAAGGGGAGAAGCCTCTACATACTAGAAAACTGTATTTTAAAAAAAGCAAAAAAAAACCCCAAAAAAAACACAAGACCAAACCAGTGCTGGGGGCAGTAGAAGGTGTTAGGAGAGAAGTAGTAACTAAGCTATATTAAATTACCTTACAATTTGCCCACCTCAGTCCTGGATTCAGAATGTATTAGCTAACTTGATGATCAACTCTGCCTACTCCAAGGGACTGCAAATAGTGGAAACAGGGAGGAACTCCAGGAAGTGAGAGACCTGAGTCTCCACAGTAAACAATCAGTGGTTAAGAAGTTAGGAGCATCCCAAAGTTCTGAGTTCTTGCGAGAGCAATAAACGGATATGCCAGTAAGAAGAAAAGTGTAAAAGGCATGACTGCTTTATTGTCACCTCCTATGTCCTGCAACTTCTTACAACTAAATGCTCTTAGCAACCACAATGCAAAAAAAGGGAAAAAAAACAACAACAAATCAAACCAAAACCAAAACAACCCCACCAAAAAACCACAAGGATATCATTACAGTTCACTAACTATCCAAAAAATTGAAGGGAAAAAAAACAAAACCAAAACCACCAACCCACATTCAGATTATTGACTCACATAAAGGCTTGGGGGGGGAGGGGGGGGAGAAAATCCATCCATTACAAGGTACCACCTCTTCACCTTCAATTCTCAACTACTGGTGGGATCCTACAGCCTATCTACAGCAACTGCAACACTTGCCCATCACCTCATGGTAGCCCACTGCAACCACGTAAAGACAAGTTATATACAACCCTGTCTCATGAAGACATTTTACTGTATTACATGATCGAGAAGGGGTCTCAGAGAACATTTCTAAGCAATGCACAAGGGCAGCCAGGCTATCTAGCAATTGAAAAGAGCACTCTGGATTATGGGAGAAAATAATCTTTTAGGCAAGAGACAATTTTGTTGTGCTGTTATATGAAGTAGTAGGACTGGAAAGAAGCAAAGTTTGTAAGAAGCTTTCAAATGTCAAAATCTTAAAAATGGGCATAAAAAGACAGATTTAATCTGCTTAGAAGATTCTGCTGCAGAAGATATCATTTAAAGACCAACATTCACTCTGATAGGCAGTAAAAGAAAGTTCACGGCAGGCAGTGAGTGAACTTTTAGGACTTACTGCCACAGGCAGCTGTTGGAGCATACAGGAACAGGCACAGAAAGGGACAGGACAAATTCAGCAAACAAGCCCCTGGAAGGCACAGCTCTTCACTCCAACCCACCAAATACAACCGTGGTTGCTAGGAAAACAAAAGGGAACTTGGAAAGAAGGTAAGAAAACCTGCTCAACTGCAATGTCTTAAGGTTTTACTTATGGCCCCTAACATTTACTTGGAAAAGGACATTACCTTTTAGTGCAAATATAAAACAACAGGAAGCTATGAAGTCAAAGTCAGCTTTTGAACAAGTAATGGAAAATAATCATAATAATAATAATAAAGATATGCCCACTACCAAGTGGGCACCAAATGTGAAGAGGCAGCTTCAGAACCCATTTTTATGCAGTGTATTTTCTATTTTTACAAGGTGCTCACAGAGATCTGCTCATGCACAATCCTTACATTGTCTCACAAAAAACAACGTAACATCTGAGATACTCCCATACTTAAGAAGAGATAAAGTATCTTCAGATTATGTACCCCAAGCATGTCTTCAAACAGTAGTGTCTACTGTCTCTAGCATTCCCTGACAAATTCTGAAGTACTTCATACAATAGCCCAAGAAAGCATTTGTCACATCTTTCCAGGAGATGCTTGATTAATAAATTGAGACTAATGAAACAGAAATGCAAATATTTATGAAATACCTGCACATATTAGAAAAAAATATATTTCATATTTTGACAAAGTGACCAAACTAAGTCTCTCAAGGATGTCTACTCAATTAAAAATATCCTCTTAAGTAAAATGCTTCCTGAAAATGCTCTTCAGGAAATAAGGCATTTACCAGTTATCAGTTCCTTTGGGAACTACCGTCTTATATTTACACTTCTGGGATACATCCATTCTAGGTAAAAGAATCATGCAGAATCTCAGTAACACTATTCCCTGGATTGCATTTCAAAGGTAAGATTACAAAAGTTTTCTAATCCCCAAATGCCTCAGTTCTTTCCACAACATCCTAGAATCTTCCAAGCACTGAACTTCAAGAATGTAAAAAAAAAGGAACTGCATAATGGTCAAACAATGTATTATTTCTTAGAAATAATTTTTCTTCAAAGGAAGTTTAAAGGAACTGACAGGGGAGAAATTACCTCCCATTTTACAGGCTTTTTTTTTCTATTTTAAATTCAAACTGGAGCTGTACGCTACAAAGTGAGTGCAGAACCTACTCCTTTTAGAAGTTCACCTCCTAAATTTATTCCACAGACTTGGCGATAGCAAGCAGCTTTGGGAAGTGCTTTTGGCGACGTGAACCAAGGCTACCTCCTTTTCCATTATGAGTAATAAAAGTCAACAAACAGATGTGGTCTGGAAAAAACAGCTAGCAGATGATTTTCTAGGAAATAGGTCTCAGTCCTTCCCTTTGGCAGATATCTACAGCAAACAAATCACAACACTGATCTCACAAGGAGAGAATATGAACTTCTGTTTTGCAAAGCACAGCTTCTTGCTTACAGAGTATCCCAGTATGCTTCTATTATTGCTGGAAATGCCTGACACACAAAACCCAAAAATTTCCTAGATTTAGAAAAGCAAGAAAGTATAATTTTGTTGTCTTTTTCAAAACTCACTTCTCTTTCAACTATCTTACCCCACAAAAAACCCCCTTGATTGAAATAATGCCAACGAGCTGTGGGGGGAACAGTTCACGATGCCTACACAACACATACCTCGGGAGTCAAAAAAGCCTCTGCGCTGAAGGAACAAACACTGGCAATTTTTAACTTCTGCCATGTGTTATTTTCTTGGCTTCTATACTTGTATTTGAAAAGACCGAACTAAATCTGATTCATTTCCAATTAACAGAAGTTAATCCCCGACCTATTACAAAGCAGACCTGCAGTATAAACTTCTGGCACAGAAAACCGCAGAAGAGGATCCTCACCTCCAACCAGACATCTCAACTAGTATCACCAAGCCCATCCTAGTGCATTTTAAGCTCTTTTGGAAGAGAAACAAAAGCATCTTCATTAAATACCTACTTTACGAGGGTATTATGCTTAGCGGTGTTTGGCTACTGCTGTCTGACCTGCTGGAACTCCTTCATAAAGAGCCCTGGATGATTTGAATGATTAAAATAAGATGCCATATGGTACTGCTATTTCCTCATAAAGAAAAGCAAGGCACAGCAAAGCCAATCTTGCAATTCAGATCGCGGAAGATTAAAATTAAGTAAGATCACCTAGACTCCATGAGCTAAACAGATCCTAACCAAACAAAATCGAAACCTAACCACAAAAAAACATTAAGCATTTCCGCTGTCCCAAGTGTATTGTTAGAGCATCTCCAAAATGGATTAGAAAGGCACAGAAGTCAAATTATCT